CTGATGAACCTGTGGTCTGTGCTTTGTTGGTCTCTTTCACTTATCATATGCCATTGTAGGTCTTTCTGAATCACTGCTATACTGTGAGGAAGCATGTGCCTTGGGGATCAAGCTGCCCACTCATAATACTGAATTTTAGCTATATTTGATTCAGAATATAGTTTTCTCCTTTTGATTTGACTACTATGATTGCTGTTTGCTCTACCATATACAGAAGAACAAGAAATAGGAATGTCCTAGCACTCTGGGAGGCCGAGGCAAGAGGATCATTTGAGCTCAGGAGTTCAAGACCAGCCTGAGCAAGAGCGAGACCCTTTCTCTACTAAAAAAATAGAGAGAAAATAGCTGGACAACTTAAAAAAAAATATATATATATATATATATATATACACACATACATACATATACATATATATATTAGCTGGGCATGGTGATACATGCCTGTAATCCCAGCTACCTGGGAGGCTGAGGAAGGAGGATCGCTTGAGCCCAGGAGTTTGAGGTTACTGTGAGCTAGGCTGATGCCATGGCACTCTAGCCCGGGCAACAGAGTGAGATTCTGTCTCAAAAAAAAAAAAAAAAAAAATAGGAATGTCATCCTTTTTGGCTATAGTGCTCGCTCTGTGCTTTTCTCCAGAGAACAACTTCTGGGGCCTATCTAGAGAAAGGTTGCCAGTCCAGTTCCATTCCAACAGAGCAGAGAGAGTTGCCCAAGGTAGTCTGCTCAAAAGCCTTCAGTGATTCCCTTTCTCCTATGGCATAAAGTCTGACTTCTTTTAAGGCTCTCTATAATCTGGGCAGTATGCCAGCATCATCTCTCACAAATCCCTCTCCCCCACACCCAACTATATTTCAACTTAATTCATTAATAGAGCTTCTGTGTGCTAAGCTCTGTTCTAGTCATTGCAGGTACAGTAGTGAACAAAATAGGTAAAATCCCTTTCTTCGTGGCACTTGGATTCTAATGGTGTAGATACAGACAATAAACTGATAAATACAAAATGGTAATAATATATCAGGTAGTGATAAGTGCTATATAGAAAAATTAATTTGGTTGTGGGAGATAGGGAGTACTGAAATGGGGATGCGGGGCCAGGTAACTTACCTTTTTATTAATAGACAGGTGGTAAGGGCAGGCCTCTCATAAAGTGTCATTTGAGTGGATATATGAAGGAAATGAGGAAGCAAGCTATTGAGATAAGTAAGTGTCATAGCCAGTTGTTGGGAAAGAGCTGGGCATGATTATGGACAGAATAGTAAGGAGGCCAGTATGGCTGGGTGAAGTGGATGAAAAGAGAGTGGTAGGAGAGGAAGTTAGATCAGAGGGAACCAGATTGTGGGGGTCCTTATAGGTGATTGTGAGGTCTTCAGTTTTCACTTAGAGTGAAATGGATGTCATTAGAGATTTTGAGCAGAGGAATGACAATCTGACTTAACCTTTTAAGAGAATTATTCTGGCTACTGTGGGGAAGCTTAGGTGGTCAGAAAGCAAGAACAGAAGCCATAGGCCAGTTAACAGGTAATAATACAGGTGAGAGATGGTGGTGGCTTGGATTAGAATGGCAGTGGTAGAAATGATAAGGGAGTTGAAGTGTGGATATATTTTGAAGGTAGAACTGACAGAATTTGTTGAGGGATTGAATGTGAGGAAGGAAAGAAACCAAGTGAAGATGGTGCCAAGATTTTTGGACTAAGGAACTGGAGGATTTGAGTTAAGAGAAGGAATGCAGGAGAAGGCAGTGGGAGCAATCAGTTTACTTTGAGTTGTTGTCTGTGGAGATGGGAAATAAAATTGGGGGAGACTGGGTTTGGGAGGGGGCAAGGATTAGGAATTGAGATGCTGTCAGATATCCAAGTGAACTGTAGAGTAGACTGTGAATATATAGTTTGGAGTTCAAGGGAGTGGCCCAGGTAAGATATATAAATTTGGGAGTCATCTACATATAGGTGGTATTTACATTCATAAGATTATGTGAGATCAGTTGAGAGTAGATATAGGGAAGAGAAGGAATTTAAGGACTGAGCCCCAGTGCTCAACAAACACTTAGAGGTTATGGAGTTGAGGATGAACCAGCAAAGAAGACTGAAAAGGAACAACCCTCGAAGTGGTTGGTGGAAAAGTAAGAGTGGGAAATTAGATAAGGAATATGTTCTAAGTAAGATGGCCTGTGTCCATATTGACTAATTGATCAAGTAAACGAGATCCAACAATTAAGCACTAGATTTGGCCATGTGGACATCATTAGTAACTTTGACAAAGGCTGTTTCAGTACAGTGGTGGGGTGACAACCTGATGACAGTTGCTTAGGAGGGTTAGGTTTCTTTTTTGTTTTTATAGTGGATATTATTATTGCATATTAGTTAATTGTTGAGAATGACCTAATAAAGAGGGAAAAATTGATGCAGAAGAGAGGGGGACAATTCCTGGACCAATGTCTTTAAGTAGGAGAGAATGATTGGGATCTAGTGCACAGTAAATAAGCCACACAGGGTAATTTGTCAGGATTACTTTCTGAAAGCTTTCATGCATTTGCCTTATCCTGTCTCCTGACTGGAAGGCGCTCACTTCCGTTCTTCCATCAGCACCACCACCACCACTCCACTTGCCATGCTATATTCATGCTTGAAAGCACGAAACATGGTATATCCTTCACAGAGCTATCCTCAGATTCCTTGTACATTATTATTTGCCTTGTGTATAAAGGCACATTTTTTAATTCTTTTCATACATCACTTACCATGGCCTACCTAGTATTTTTAATTAGTCTTTCTCCCTGACTACACACTTTGTTCCTTGAAGGCTTATGATCCCTGATTTCTGGCCTCACTCAACTATTATTATAAAAAGACAAATTAACTAATGAATATCCTTGGCTTATAGAAGGTATTCAGTAAATATTTATTGAATGAATTGCTGTGTGGTGATAAGGAGTTTTTCTTTCCCTTGTTTGATAAAGTTGGCTTAGGTTTGGAGGGATGGTGCCACGCTTTGCTGCTGAGTGTGTTTACTTTGCATCCACCTAGCACCTGAATGCTTTGTACTAGTAGGTGCTCTATTTGTCAGAATTATATTAAGCATTTGTGTTCTCTTTATCGTCTAAGCAACCCTGTATGTAACTATGGCTCTCTAAAGTGCTTTGTAGGCAGTAAATTTCAGTATTTGTGCATTGATTGATAAGCTTTTTTCCTCTGATACTACCTTTTCCTTTTCAAGCCCAAGTAAACTGGTGCCTTGTAGGCAAGTTCTAACTAGGAATCAACCTCTATCCTATTCCAAAAGTTTATCCTAGAGCATCAGTTTGAAAACCAACTCATTTCTTGAGAATCAGTCCTTTCTGAAGAATAAATGCTTGTTTGCTTGATTGATTTCTAGCCACATCAGTGCATTTGGGTCTAGAAAGAACATCTTTGTGATCCAGCCTGAATCAAATCCAGGTTCTACCACTTGGGCAAGTCACTTCATCTCAGTTAACCTCTCTGAGGTTATAATTTTCTTTTTTGAAAATATAGGGGTAATTATGCCTACTCTGTAGATGTGTTGTGACAGTTAAATGAATTATGTGTGCAAAGCACCTAACCCACACTGAAAATGATGTCGCCTACTGGAGAACTGGATTGTCTTTTTTTTTAGGCTGCAAAAGCATTTTTGCATTAAGATTGAGGTGTAGAAGGAGGCCATCTCACGGAGCCCTTCTATTTAGCTAGAGTCTATGTTCCAGGATGCCAGGGCTCTCCAGTGATTTGTTTTTGTTTTCCCTCCTGAGTCCACATCTTTGAGAGAAAGCAAAGTAAAATAGTGCCAAACTCTGTGTTAGAAAGTACAACAGCCTTGCAACTTTAGCCTTGGTCGACTCACTTTATGTTTTGTGTTGCAGTTTCTCCATCTGTAAAATGGAAATAAGCCATGAATTCGGAGCCTACCAGGATTATTAGTATAATAAGATAAGGGGCGCAAAAAGCTTGATAAACTAAAGGTCTGTTCAGGTATAAGGCGGTATTATTACTCTCCTCACTTATTTATCCAGGCTGGGCCAGACTTGAAGGGAACTGGTTCCAGACTCTACATTTTCTTATTTACTTTCCCAGGACCCTGCTGGTTGGAAGCCCGTAGGAGTCAGAGCCTCACCCTTTTTGCTCTCCCTTTCATGGTCTCCATCTTCTGAAAACCTTACTGAGGCAGTATAGATATTTGAAATTCAAGGAAGAGGTTTATGCAATGCCTAAAAACTGCCAGTACTGCTCCATAGAAACTTGGGAATCTGTCGCCTATCCTTTATATGGGTTTGTATTATTACTTTGGCAGCATGGTATGGTGGGTATAGTTTTGGGTAACTTCTTTCTGAGCTTTGTTCTTTATCAGCATAATCTCGTGAAGTTGTTATGAAGGTGAAAAATGATGAATATTCAAGGGTAGCAGGTAGAGGCTCATTATTTGATGGCAGGTATTTTCCCTAGAAGCAGTCTAATAGAAACCAGAATGGGAGTCAGGAGTCCTAAATCTTTTATTTTGTGATCTTTGATATGAGTCACTGTCTCTAGATAGACTAGGTATTTAAACAGGAAAGCAACAGATGCTTGCTTTTTTTTTTTTAATCAAGCTGGACAGAATTATATGAAGGAAAAAGTGAAAGCCCCCTTTGCTTCCCCCCATTCAGTTCATTCCCAAGGTAACACTTGTTACCAGTTTGATGTGCCCTTTCCAGTGTTCTCTGTCTATATTAAATATATGCAAGTATGTGTAAATATCTACACCGTATATGGGATGCATGTATATATAAATAAACATGTTATATATACTGCAATCTACAATATATACTATATAATATCTTGGTTTTTTTACTTGTTTTGGCTATTTTTTCTTGTTGGTACTTAAAGATTTACTTTTTTGTTTTTAATTAATGTCTTATAATTTATTAAGTGGCTCCCTATTGATTGTGTGTGCTATGATTTTTGAAAAGCAAATATATACATACATTGTTGAGTTTTTAATTTTTTTTCAGGAAAAGAAGAAAAAGAAACATAGAGACAGGAAGTCGTCTGACTCTGACAGCTCAGACTCTGAGAGTGATACAGGCAAGAGGGCAAGGCACACATCAAAAGACAGCAAGGCAGCAAAGAAGAAGAAAAAGAAGAAGAAGCACAAGAAGAAGCACAAGGAGTGAGAGTAGCAAGAGTGCAGAGGGTGGTTGAGAGTAGGAACCAGGGGCCTTGTGCCTTGAAGCCCTGGCTCCTAGAAAGACTCAACAGTGAGAATATGGCTTTCCACCCCATTAAGTTCACTCCCATGGGAGATGCGTCCCCTCGTGCAACAGGCAGGTTTGAGAGTTAGAGGTCACAAGTAGCTGCCTGAATGAGTTGTTGTTTCCTTGTCACTCCTGGTCCTTTTGCAAGTGACCCCTGCAGCTCACACATTCATTCATCCAGCTTCCTTCATTCAGCAGGAGGTCCTATTACCTTCTCCAGCGGCCACTGCCAGAGCCGGATTCCTGCACAGGAGTCCAGGCTAGCGCCACAGGGACTGCTGTGTTGGTAAGTCTGGCTGTAGTTAGAGAACAGAGTGACTAGCCCCTTCTATTGGTCTGTTTGGGCTGACTGGTGTGTGATCTCTGCTGCATCCAACATAGAGGCAGAGACTGGCAGCCAGAGGGAGGATGTGTTAAGAAGTGGTGCTCACCCTTTCCATCCCCCAGCATGGTTCTGTGCTAGAAGGGACAGCCAGTGGCCACAGCCAGAAAACGATCATTTGCCGTGTGACTTAGCTAGTGTATGACATTCCAGCGGACCACTGAACTGGACAGCTGAAACCAAGATCATTGTTCCACTTTGTATTTACTACTGTGTAAGTCAGTTGATTCTACTTCAGGTCCCTGCTTAAATTCCTGGCACTAAATGGAAGTGTGTTTGGTTTTAAACTTACTGAAAATTCTTATTCCTATAATCCTTCTTTCTGGATAACTTACAGATTTAAATCCACTGAGCTGCATTAGGTGACAGAAAAACGTTTAATATGTTACCTTAGACCTTGGAGAGAGGCCCAGCTGAGGTACAGAGCCAGAGGCCCGAGCATGCCACAGCCTTCTTGGGAGATCACCTATAAGCCCTCTCTCCTATAATGGTCATCTTATTCCCCCAGGGTTGATTAGAGAAGCAGTAAGAATTTGTAACCATGAGTAAATACTAGGCTGGTGCCTCAGTGGGAGCTCAGCAGTCATCTGAGCCAGTGGTCATTTTCTCCCACCACAATGGCACAAACTGGGTCCTGTGTCCTACACCTGCATCTGGAAAGGGAGAGACCACAGCATTTTACAGAGAAGAGCCGGGCCTCAGGTGACATTTCTGTAGCCAAGCCTAAGGTGGCCCCACCACTCACTGGACTAGCTCACTTGACCATGGGGAAGGGCAGTGTAAGGCCAGGTGTAGGTACAGCTGTTTCATTACTGAATGTGTGGGGTAGTGTGCTGATTGCCAGTCCCTGAGAATGGCCCTTTCAGGCTCTCAATCAGTGCTTCCTCCTGAATGACCCTCAGGCAGTCATTTCTGCCCACTATCTGACACACAGGGGAAACTGAGACTCCCAGAGTTATGTCACCAAAGGCCAAAGTGGATGCCCTTGGCTCTGTTTTATTGACCTCAGAGCACCCTTTGAGTACAGTCTTTTTTAAAAAAAAAAGCCACACACACAGTGGGAACAGGAACTGAATCCAGGATGGTGGCACCTGACCCCAGAAGAATCCCTCAACCAAGACAGATTTATACAAAATGCAGAGGGAAAAATGAGGCAATGTGGTTCTGAGTCGAGGGTCAGCCGATTGGCAGAGGAGCAGTCAGCGAAGGCACAGGCCGGTCATGCCTCTTTCTCGTAAGTACGAGTGCAAACTACGCTGCCGTGGGTGAGCGTCTGGAAGGAAAGACAGAGTCAGATGGGGGTGGTAAGAATTCGGTCCTGCCTATCACATCCCTACCAAAGCGAGGCACCTTATTCCTAACTCCAAGGGTTCCCTTGTCCCATGTGAGTGCAAGAATGCATCTTGCAGGTTACTCTGACTCAAGAAGGTATGCGGTGAAGTTGCCAAAGTGAAAACCTGAGGCCCTACAGAGTTAGGAGGCAGAGACTACAGCTGGCTGCTCTCTCTACCCCTGGATCTGGGAGGAATTCAATCAAAGTTACATTCTCCAAGTGAAACCACCAAGCTTATCCCTAAACAGACAGACCTGCCACTCTGGTTGTGTTAACTTCTAGGCGGGCAATAGTCATGTCCTTGTAGCAGCCCAGACATAGAAAACACTGAGAGGAGGTAGGACTGGAATGGGGCAGTGCCTCACCAGTCACCAGCCTACTTCTGCCGTGACAGTGCAGTCCTAGGGAGCAAGGGGAAGGGAATGCTGAGATGACAGCCTCTCCTAGAGGGCCTGGGATCAGATTTGGCCCTACTTGCTTCCTATTCCTGGGGCAAGGCAAGGTGGAAACACAGGAGAAGAAATTAAGGACATGGAGCACCTGTTGTCTTCCTCTCACCTCAGTGATGCTTTGTGCCGTGTATACACTGTCTCTTTCAAACTTCCCAGCAGCCCTACAGGTTGGTGTTATTAATACCCATTTTACAGGTGCATTTTGAGAAGTTGACTTGTCCAAAGTCATGCAGCCTATAAGCTGAGACTTGAACTGAGGCCTGTGTGAGTCCAAAGCCACTAAAGAGGAAACTGCCACCTAATACCACCCTGACCCTGCCTCCACCTCCACCTCTCTTGTCCCAGCTTCTTTGGCTCTCAGGGGAGAACCTTAGCTTTTTAAAACAGGCGTGGCTAAGGGGCTGCAGTAGTAACCAATTAGATGTGGCCCCATAGTTATTGTCCGTCTTACCAGGATAAGTTTCCCATCACTTAGCTCCCGCACAAGTGTTGTCTCTTGCCCATTCCACTTCTGCACGTGAACAAGTTTGCCTCCATCCAGTGTCACAGTGGACTGTAGAAAGAGAGTAGAGGGCTGAGCTGTGGTCTTAGTCAGGATTGAAGGGCAGGATGAGGTATAGAGGACACAGCCTCTGACCCAAACTAGTGATGGTGAGGACCAGAATGCAACCCACCTCCCACCTAGCCCTACAGTCTAGTTCACTTGCATCCTCTGCTCCCCTACTACCTTGCTGGGGAGGGGCCTTCAGTTTTAGGCAAGTAGGGAGAGGCAGGTAGTATGGTAGAGCCAGACAGCCTGGCTCTGAGAAAGTGCCACAAGCCTTTAAGACTTATCTGTGTTCTAGGTGATGCCCACCTAGAATGTGCTAGTCTGCATCCCTGTGAAAGACTAGCTAAGGAGACGGAGTAGTCCTAAGAATCTCTCTCCAGCCTTGTGGTTATCATACATAGTATCTAAAAGACCCTTGGTGATAGAAAGTATTAGAAAGTTAGACTTCCTGCCTTGTATTCCTACACTTCTTCTTTGTCCACATCATGTGACCCCTTTAGCTGAGAAGAGGGCAGCAACGACAAGGTCCTGGGACTGGGTGCCCTTGGAGTGTTCCTCAGCCCTGGGTCAATTGCCTACGTAGTGCTCTGGGTGCAGCCAGCCTACCTCAGCTGGTTCTCCTTGGCAGTTCTCCCAGGTCTCTCTTTTCTAGGAATTTGCAGCCTTTAGACTAGGCTAAAGGATCCTGACTGAGCAGGTTCAGTAAATGAATCTGAGAAGGCTGTGTGTGTTGTTTGGGGGGGAGGAAGAGGGGACCTGTTCCTTGGTGTGCTGTTCTTATCACTACCTTACTCCTCATTCTCCTTTCCCCTGATTTTTTTTGCATACTCAGCAGATATTTAGGTCCCCAGAGGGCTACTATTGTGTTTCATTGGGGGTTCTTGCCCCTTGAGAAGGGGGGCAAGTCCAAGTAGACAGGAACATGTGTGGTGGGGCAGCCACCTTTATCCAAAGCAGGCTGCCACCTTTGGGCACCATCCCCCAACTCTGCTGCCAGCCTCCTGTGATATCCTGGGCTGAGCTTCAGCTCCTCTTCCTCCTCATGGAGACCAACCCTACCTTCCCTTTCCAAGGATAGCTATGAGGAAGGGGAAACAGCTGAGGGGCTGAATGATGGCATGACAATGGAGAAGATACTGCTATAGGGACACTATGTACAGGTCAAAGCCCCTAAGTTCTCTCTTTCCTGTGCCCAGCCCAGTGCTGCAAGACCTGAGGCCACTTGCCAAGACAGAGCCACTGCAGAGTAACAGAGCCATTGGAGAGGGGCCCAAGGCTTGGTGGGAAGACACTGCAAACACACACATGACAATGTGAATGTCCTATCCTGGAACATAGCTCTTCATGCCTGTCAACTGGCAACACTGGAAATAGTTTGTCAGGGTCATTGGCCAAGCCCAGGAGTTGGAGGTTGAAGAAGCATCTGAGTAGGTCTCAGCCTCTTGTTCCCAGCTGCCTTTTTTGCTGCTGGAGGCCAGGATGACCTCACTCAGTGAAGTGCCCTGACTTCTGGGCATCCTTCCTAAAGCACTTCAGGTCACAGCCCAGCCACATAACTCCCCCATCTATGGAAAGGGAAAGAAACCCAGAGCTTCTGCATACCTTGTACAAGGTCACCTAGCTGGAGCTAGAGTAGACACTGAGGTCAGAAGGATATCTGGGCTCTGTGCTGCCCATTCCAAGGCAGCTAATTGATGCTTCCCAAGAAGGGAGGGAAGAAAACAAGAGGACAGAACTAACATGTGTTTAGTACCTGTGGCCACCAGGCACTACATAGGCTTTATTAACCTTTTTCACTGAAATCCCTCATAATAGCCTGCACATCAGGGTGCAGTATGAGGGAACCAAGACTACTAGCCTGTTTCCCTTTGGAGTCTCAGCACCCACCATTCCCAGTGCCCCCTTCTCTGACTCACCTTGACCTTCCTGTCATCTGCTGTTGTCTCGTCGAACTCCACCCCTAGCTTAAAGCTGATCTCTGTGTTCTTGAAGGTGCTCTGTGTCTTTAGGATGATAGTGTCCCCATTCTTTTCGATGATTGTGGTAGGCTTGGTCATGTTGGCCACCTGTCTGGTAGCAAAACCCACCCCTGAGGGCAGGTGAAAAGTTATGAGTATATGGGCTGGAGCAGAGAGCATCATACAAGGAGCTCAGTGAATAACTTAGGTCTGGTGTGGGAAGAGGAAGACTAGATTTCAAAGCCTTTGCATGGCAGTTTTTATTTTTTTTGGAGACAGAGTTTCATTTTGTTACCCAGGCTTGAGGGCAGTGGCATAATCACAGCTCACTGTGACCTCAACTCTGCTCAAGCGATCCTCCTGCCTCAGCCTCCCAAGTGGGATTACAGGTGGCACCACAACGCCTGGCTAATTTTCTATTTTTAGTAGAGACAGGTCACTCTTGCTCAGGCTGGTCTCAAACTCCTAAGCTCAAGTGATCCTCCTGCTTCGGCCTTACACAGTGCTAGGATTACAGGTGTGAGCCACTGCACCTGGCCTGTATGACAGTTTTAAATTCAGTCTTCCCCTTAGTTCTGTGGGGTGAACAAAGAGACTATTGATCCCATCAGACAGGTGAGAAACTTAAGGACCAGCAATGCCATAGCAAGTCAGTGGCAGAGCTGGGTTAGAATAAACTACTAAATGCTTTTTATGCGATAAGAACTATATATATGTATCTCATTCAGTCCTCCTGTCCCTTTGAAGACTGTCTCCACTTTACCATTGCAAAACTGAGATACAGTTAAAGCCCAGGGTCACAATCTGAGATGAAGCCCAAATTGTTTTGACTCCAGAGCTCACTGAACTGCTCAGCCACAGCACCCTCCAACGCTGGAGCCCACTGCCTTCAACGGCACCTGAGCCCCTGTCAAACGACACTGTGAGGAAAGAAATGTGGCTTTGCGTTCAAAGCCATAGAACAAGATTCACCTTTGGAAGTTTTGCCTGAATCCTAAGAAGCATTAGTGGTCTTGTTCCCCCATATATGGCAACCAACATTTTCAAAGCTCTTATCTGTGATCTAGGAGGTAGGTACAAAAGGAATATTTGTCCCATTGTATAGATTTAGGAGGGCCTAAAGTAGTAGCAACAATGAGTTAAGACTCAAACCCAGGTCTCCTGACTTCCAAGCCCTAGGGGACTCTCTGACCCAGCATGGCTTCCCTGGGTTCTGGCTAAGTCCTAAGTTTCCTACAAGTGTTCATCATGACTGCCCTGGCCAACCCCACCCGCCTTTGCGGAGCTATCTTCCAAGGCAACAGTGAGCCAGGAGGCAGCCCAGTGTGGTGAGGTGGTGCGTATAAAGTCTCTGAATGTGCCAGCCTTCATAGTGCTTCTAGGAAGCTAGGTAGTTTTGCACATGCTCTACGTGGGTTGTTCTTATATGCTTTTAATTGCCCCGAAGGGTAGGTTTTATTCCCAGTTTACAAATGAGAAGAGAAGTATCTTGTCAAAGTCAAACAAGGAGTAAGTTATTGACCTAAATTTGAATCTAGGCTCCAAAACTGTTCACTATTCCCACTAGGCCATTCTGCCCAGCACATACTCAATCCAAGCACCAAGGCCACCGGTTGTGCCTGTGGTTATTAGTACTAGGCTGAGCCTCTGTGAACCTCGGTCTAGAGCAAGAAGGGCAGGGGCTGCCTCTGCAGCTGTGCAGATGCAGCCCACCCTGCCCGGCCAGTGAGTGACTTGGGCCTACCCCTGGTATCAGTGAGGCCAATCACACTCACTAGCACAGAGCAGGGCCTTGTCACTGCACCCAGAGCTCTATTTGTTAGGACCTACTAGAGGTGTGGGTGTTGGGGAAGGAAACCACTGTGGGCTGAGTGAGGGCTGAGCCAAGAAAACCTAAAAAGGCCGAACGTGGTGGCTCACGCCTGGAATCTAGCACTCTGGTGGAGGCTGAGGTGGGCGGATTGTTTGAGCTCAGTTGTTCGAGACCGCCTAAGCAAGAGCAAGACCCCATCTCTACTAAAAAATAGAAAATTAATTGCCAACTAAAATATATAGAAAAAATTAGCCTGGGCATGGTGGCACATTCCTGTAGTCCCAGCTTCTCGGGAGGCTGAAACAGGAGGATTGCTTGAGCCCAGGAGTTTGAGGTTGCTGTGAGCTAGGCTGACGCCATGGCACTCTAGCCCAGACAACGGAGTGAGACTCTGTCTCAAAAAAAAAGAAACTAAAAAAGACTGGGCTAACAGAATTTAGAGACTCAGGAAGAGCTAGGTCCTACTTAGAAAGTTAGAACGAAAGCTGAGGACGGTCTTTTTCTCCAGTGGGCCTCAGACTTTCTGTCGGTACGAGAAAGCAGGCTGGATGGAATCTTAGCCACCTGACGTAAGCTGCCCAAAGACAACAGGTCTTTAGGCAGACCAGCCCTTAGCCAAGTTGGGGAATAAGGGAACAAGGGTGTTAAGTTTTTGCAGCTTAGTCAGATGTGGCTCTTTGTCCCAAATGTCTCTGTTGGAAAGAACTAAACTGGGCATTCTAACTTCCGCAATGGCTGCTGGGTAGGGGTGGGGGCTGTTCTCTAAGAATGGCTGCTACCTGGGTCACTGGGTATAGTGCCCAGGGTAGGGTAGACGCAGTTGAGAGTTTGGGCCTCAAGAGCCACACTTGTGGCCCCTGTTTCAGGCAAGGGTTAGTGCAGAGGTGAGAGTAGTAGAGTGGACTTCCCCACCCTTTGCATATCTGCCACAATCTAGCCCTCCTTTCTTGGGAGGAAGGAATGTACTCTAGTTCAACATGAACACTATTCCATTTTTCCTGTCCCAGCCTGGGAGACTAGGATAATCTCATAAGCTGGGAATTTCAGAGAATGAGTATCTTCTCCATCTAAGCCAAACCAGAAGGGAAGGGCTGAGGTCAGTCATTAGCTAAGCAGTTCACTCCTAGGCCTACAGGGTAGTGGAAGAGCTTTGGTTACGATCTAGGGAATCATAGGTTTTCACAACAGCTTCTACTGTGGAATTGTGACAAGTTTCTATTCTCCTGGTTCAATTTCCCTATCTGTCAACTAGGCAAGGTATGGCTATCTCCAAGGTCCTCACCTGTAAGATTCTTAGAATCTTTGTTTTCCCGATCCCAGCACACAATAGCCATCCTCACCCTCCTAGAGCGGTGACCTTTCCCTGCCTTTAATAGCTTTTGACCTGTCGGGGACCCTCCTACTACACCCCAGAAGTCCACGGTTTTCTGCACCTACCCCTTGCATAGGTGGCTGAGCCATGGGCTGTTGGAAAGGCCCAGTTGATGATGGGCCTCTTGCCCCACCTCCACTAGGCTCATTGACAGTGATTAGGCATGGTCACATACCTCGCAGGGCAAGGTAAGACTGGTGGCAGGAGAGGGCGTCCTCCGCAGCAGTCCTTCTCAGGGGCAGGGTGTTGTGTAACTGCAGGTCCCTGTCTTCACTCCTCCCATATCAAATTTACTGATTAACCATTTTACCTCATCCTGTGGGTATTCCTATTTCTTAGGCCATAGTACACTCCCTCTCACCCCATTTTCTTGCTGGGTTGTCTTCAATTCTAAAACCACCCATGCCCTGCTATTTTTGCTCCCTGGCAGCCTATGATCAATGCTTTCCTTTATCCAAACCCCCTCCTACCTCCAGATCATATACCTTCTTCCTTGAAGCGTCTCCATATGGAGAGGCACAGCTGGCTTGTTCTTGTGCCCCCTACCTTAGTATCCCTCTTGCCAGGTTCAGACCGCAAAGCCCCTCCCAGCAGGCGTGCAGGGCGTCTGATCCGGAAGGAGCAAGAGCGCTGCTCCGCTAAGCCGTGGCCATCCCTTCCAGCCCAGCATCCCGAGCCCGCGCTTTGCTCACGATTGACTTCATGTAGTCATCGAAATTCTTGCTGTCCACTAGTTTCCAGGTGCCCAGGAAGGCGTCCACCATGGTGATGCTGGGCTAGGCTGAGAGAGCAGCTGAGAGAGCAGGCGTGCAAAGACTCCGGACTGGCGGCTCCCTGCCGGCGCTGCGGCTTTAAATAGCCCTCGCATCACATGATGAGACGTGTGGCCCACGCCCCCAGCTCCCGAAATAGGAAGCCCCAGGCTGGGGCTCACCCTCGAGGAGCTGATCGCCCATCCCCCACCCACCGAGGGGGGAGGGGACCAGGCAGTAGCGCCCGCTCAGCTGCGTCAGCGTCAGCGCCGTGCGAGAGCTCCCAGTCCCTGCCCCAGGCTGGCAAGACTTGCTCTCTTCCCTGGCCTCAAGGCGCTCTTCGAAATCTGAGAAGCAGCTGGGCACCCGCCTGCGAGCCAGTCCCCCAGTCCTCCGAGCTTGGGGTCAGAGCGGAGATGAGAGGAGAAAGGGACCTTGCCCTTGGGCTGGTGGCCACTGCGGAGAAAGTTCTGGTTGACTGTTCTGGCACAGCTACCCTTGCCCCGGTTTTACAGGTGAGAAGCTGGAGGCCCAGAGAGCAGCTGACAAGATCGCTAGAAATAAGGAGAGGGTGAAGTGGAGCCCAGTTTGCAAGCCTGGTCTAGCTGGCTTCAGCGCCCGAGCTCCCCCACCACTCCCACTGCCTGTTTGCGGGGACAGTCACCGGGAACCTGGTGCGCGGCTGAGCTGCTCGTGCCACCGCCTGCTCTGGACGAAAGCCCGACCGACCTTCCCTTTGCGCCGCCTCGCACGTGCTTGCCCCTCCCTGCGGAATGTCTCCAGCCCGCACACCCCCTCCCCGCCACCCGCAGCCACCCGCAGTCCCCGCGCACCGCCACTGCAATTGTTCCGGGCTTTTCTGGCCTTTTGGCACAGCTTTCCCTCCGGTTGTTCCCCCTCAACCTCCTTCAGAAATTCTGCCAGTTCAGTCACCTCTTCAAGGCCACCTGCTACCCTTTCTTTGACCTCTGCACACACGCAAGCAAGCCTGCACTGTCACAGAACTTGCTACCTCCTTAAAAGAGCCTACTGTGCAGTAGTTTGACACTTTACCGTCGCAAAGCACTTTCAATAAAAAGACCCACCTTGTTTTGATGTCTATTGCATGCCTAGGGCTTTAAGTACATTGGCTCTTTGAATTTGTGGAACAAAATCCACAAAGTAGCTGTATTATTATTCCTTTTTACAGATGAACAAACAGAGGCTCCAGGGAGCCCATTCATTACTTTAGCAGTTATTGAAGCACCTACTTTGTGCCAAGCCCTGCTTTGGAGAAAAGGGAACAAGACATTTGAGTAGCTCACCTCTGTGAAGCCAAACACAAGTGTGCTTACTAAAGTGTGGTGACTGCCTGACCTAAGGGCGCAGAGAAGCTTCTCAGAGGGCGGGAGGAAGTGGACTGCTGGCGTAGGAGGAGGCCCTGCACACCAGGAGTGGTGCTGAGCTGAGCTTCAGCCAGCAGAGGCCTGTCCAGGATGGGTATTCAGGAGCCAGCACAGGAGCACTTGGGCCAGCCAGCTCTGCCCCCACCCACACACTCACACACAGTGTGGTGGGCCCTACTGGGCATCTGTTTCTCCATGTGCAAGTCCCTTCCTCCCTTCCCCCAACTGTTCCAGGAAGGAGGCCAGGGAGGAAGAGCCCCATCTCCCCCCAAGGTCTTGATTCCCTTGGACAGTCCAGTTGCCAGAAGACTAAGAGGCCCATTTCTGCCAAAGCTATAGGGACAGGCCTCAGGGCTCGGCATTGAGCCCTGGTGACCTCACTGCTGGAATAGGTGCCAGGGGAGGAGGGCAGTGGGATGGTTTCTGACTCAGGGTCACAGCCTTCAGACAGAGGGCCTCTCCTCTCAAGGACTGAGTGGCGGAGACCCAGGGGCCAGAACTATCTCCTTGCATGGTCTGGACAGTGCAGTGATGGAGAGCTGGGGCTAGGCTGACAGCTGCTCACAGATCTGTATTCCAGTCTGGATTTCTTTGGGTACTAGCTGTGTGGCCTTGAACAATTCACTTAAGACACTCTGAGTCTCAGTTTCATCTTTTTTTTTTTTTTTTTAGACAGAGTCTCCCTTTGTTGCCCAGGCTACAGTGAGTGCCGTGGCGTCAGCCTAGCTCACAGCAACCTCAAACTTCTGGGCTCAAGCAATCCTGCTGCCTCAGCCTCCCAAGTAGCTGGGACTACAGGCATGTGCCACCATGCCCGGCTAATTTTTTCTATATATTTTTAATTGGCCAATTAATGTCTTTCTATTTATAGTAGAGATGGGGTCTCGCTCTTGCTCAGGCTGGTTTCAAACTCCTGACCTCAAGCAATCCGCCCGCCTCGGCCTCCTAGAGTGTTAGGATTACAGGTGTGAGCCACTGCGCCCGGCCTTCATCTTTATTTTTTTATTTTTATTTTTATTTTTTTTGAGACAGAGTCTCGCTTTGTTGTCCAGGCTAGAGTGAGTGCCGTGGCATCAGCCTAGCTCACAGCAACCTCAAACTCCTGGGCTCGAGCGATCCTTCTGCCTCAGCCTCCCGAGTAGCTTGGACTACAGGCATGTGCCACCATGCCCGGCTAATTTTTTATATATATATCAGTTGGCCAATTAATTTCTTTCTATTTATAGTAGAGACGGGGTCTCACTCTTGCTCAGGCTGGTTTTGAACTCCTGACCTTGAGCAATCCGCCCGCCTCAGCCTCCCAAGAGCTAGGATTACAGGCGTGAGCCACCGTGCCCGGCCCCAGCCTTCATCTTTAAAATGGAGGAGTTTGAGGGTCAAATGAGATAATTTAAAATTCTGAACATGAGCTCATGCCTGTAGTCCCAGCTACTTGGGAGGCTGAGGCTGAGAATTGCTTGAGGCCAGGAGTTCTAGACCAGCTTGGGCTACATAGCAAGATCCCTTAAAAATTTTTTTTAAAATTGCCAAGCATGGCTGAGTTAGCAAATGTCCACTGCTGCTGCTCCTCATGCTGCTGTTGTTACTATCTCCTTGGATAGTGTAGGACACCTAAAGCCATACCCGAGCTCTGCCTCTGACCTGCTGGGCCAGTCACCCAAGTCAGATTGCTTTGCTTCTCTAATCCTCAATTTTCTTATTTCTGAGACAGGATTAGAAACTGCTGCAGCTGTGAAGAAGAGCTATCGGAGGTGTTCAGGACAGGTTGAGGTGGGGGCACTGCCAGAAAACCCTTTTGCTCCTTATCTTGGGCCCTGTCCAGGTTGAGCAGCATGGGGCTTTGAGAGACTCTAGACAAACTTCCAACCAACGCCCCTCACTGCCCTTCCCCCACCTCCCCACTACGCTCAGACGTAGGTCACCAACGTTGACCCGTAAGCCGAACACCATCTCCTTTCTACCTGATTTGAAAATCTCCCTTCTCCCTTCTAAGTATGTACATTTCTCTCCCTGGCCCTCTGAGTAGCTGCATCCTTCCTGCTCTGTTGTACTCAGTAGTTTGGGGGAGGATGTGAGCCCTGTACCCGTTCCTGCTCCCCTTTCTTGCTTGCCCTTGGCAGATTCAGATGTGAATACAACATCCGGCAGGCAGGAGGACCAGTGCCTGCCACGAGCAGCATCTCCCCAGCCCTCACCCTATGGTGATGTCACTGTTCTATGTTCCCATGGCAACCACAGGCTGGGAAGATGGAGAAGAGGAGAGAGATGAGTAACCAGGAGTGAGCCAATGAGATGAGCCTGCAGCACCGGATGATCCGTGGGGCCATGGGGAGAGGGAAGAGGGAGGCCTGTTCAGCATCTTCAGCTGTTTCCTGGACCCTCCCTGCCTTCCCTAGGGAATGTACCACTGGCACAAGCAAAGAGCCTAGAGAAAGAGGCCTAAGAAGCTGAACTAGAAGCTTCACTAACCCAGGAACTTGGAGATCCTCCTTTTGCCCTTCAGGGGTCTAAGTCTGTAGATGTGACCACCCTCATCCCACCCCACCCCTAATACCTGCAACTGGGGATTTTTCCCTTTTGCCAGTAATGGCCATGAGGCGCTCTCTCTGACTCTGTCTGCCATGGAATCAGCAAATCTTAGACAACCCTTCTTTCCGTACCCTCCACACCCCTTCCTGGTTCATGGTATATCAGGAGCAGAATCTTTGGAAAGAGGCCTGGTTCTAAATCCCAGGTCTGCACTTACTAGGTAGAGAACTGGAACAGGCCTTTCTCCCTTCTCAGTCTCTTTGCCTCCCAAATAGAGGAAAGCTGTAGGCTTCTCAGGGTTGTCATGTAACAAATGGAAAGCTTAATATCAATGAATAGTAACTTCTCCGCTCCCCCTTCCAGGGCTCCTCCCTAGAACAGTTGGAGTGAGCCAAGGCCCTATGACCCTGAATCAGTAGGAAAGGATCCAAGGGTATGGCCAACTCCACGCTGAAGTCATGGAGTGGCCTTCAGATATTGCAGATAAGTTTCCTCATCTCTTTCTCTTTAAATCTACCAATCTTCACTGAGCACCTTCTCTGGCCCGGCTCTGCTGTGCTCAGTGGGGACCCAGGGTAAAGAGGGGAGCACAGGCCCTGCCCTCACTGAGCTCACAATGTAGAGGGACTGCAGCCCCAGGGGGTGGACTGGTGTGTTCTTTCTGCCACTAGGAAATCTGCTTCCTTGTTCCCCAAGAGTTCTAGATACTATGGGTCTGAGAACAAGTGATGGCAGAAGGTCAAAGTTTGCTCAATACCACTTTGCTTCTGAGAAGCTGTGGCCTGTGGCAGTTTGCTCCTGGGACCAAGAACAATGGCCCTCCCTGCCCTGAGGGAGGGGGCAGCTCAGCTCAGCCTTCCCAGAAACCAGCCCATCCCCCTGTTGCTTAAACTCTTTAGCCTGGTCTCATGTGTTTCCTTGGTCTAAGTTACTACTAAAATCCTGTTCCAAGAACAGTGAGATAGTAATAGGGTTCAGTATAGGGAATGAATGAATGAACAAATGAGTGAGTGGGTGAATCTATCTCCCTCTAGTTTTAGGGGCTCTGGAGTGAGACTCCCTTGGTTTCCAACCTTGCCCTGTAATTTACATACCAGCTCTGTGACCTGAGGCAAGTCATGATCTCCTTGGGTCTCAGTTTCTTCATCTTTGAAAAGCATAAAAGCATGTCATTATCTCCACCTAGCCAATCTCCCAAGGACTTTGAGAACATAAGGCCGGCCAAGTTGAGGAATGCTGCACCAAGGTTAATTGTTCTCCTCCAGGCTTCTCCCCTGGTTGCCCCTGGATGGCCCTCAGCACAAGACCCACTTCCTTGGAAACAGCCCTCAGCTTCACACACTATGGCCCCGGCCTGCCTCTCCCAGCTTCCCAGGCTGCAGCCACTCAGACCTTTTTGTACCTGGAAGGGGCGCGTGTTTCTGTCTTGCTGTTTGCCTACAATGCTCTTCCTCCCTAGCCCCTGCTCTCTTTCATTAACTCCTACTCATTTTCAGCTTGCAGTTTAACTGTCCTGCCTCTGGGTAGCCCCATCTTCCCTTTTGTAGCACTTACCCTGTCCGTGTTGCTGCTGGAACCATCTCTCCAGAGCAAAGAAAGCCACTTGTTCTCCTTCCTGTTCTCTATTTTGAAATTCGGATCTGCCCCTTCTCCACTATTCTTAACTTTCCTCCTGCCAAAGAATCCTGTCTTGTGTTCTCTTTCTCACTCCCTTCCCAGGGCCAGGAGAGTGGGCCACTTCCTGTGTGTTGTGGGGCCCCAAGTTCTCCCAGGTGAGAGCTGATCTTCAGAATGCGTGGGTGTAGCCTGGATCCCAACTGGCAGCTTTCTGCAGGGACATAGCTGTTCCCAGGGAGTAATTAAACTAGCCTTAGACTTGGGGCTGACTCTGGCTCCCTCCCCAAACTACAGTTTCCTCCTCTATCACATGAAAAAGTTGCCTCTGCAAAACTGTACATAACCTCTAATACTGGATTAGGTAAAGTATAATTAGACAGGTAAACTTAATGCTTACAAAACAGCACTTCACACCACTCTGAGGTCTCTGCATGTTCGTGTGACATGTGGCCTGGCCTCTTTCCCCTCTCCTGGCACTACACAGTTCAATAGCTGCCCCTCAGAGTGTATCCTATTCAGGAACAGCCACCCAAGATTCTGCAAGGGTTCAGGCAGTTCCAGGAGGACTGACAAGCCTGGCTGATGTGGACAGATGCCCACCGTGTGTCCCTGGGTAGGGAGAGCTGGCAAACTGTGGCAGAGGCTGGTACGGAATGGATCTTGCCCTCAGGAGTGTCAGGTGTGATCCAGGAAACAGGTACAGAACCAAGGCTGTCAGTGTGGCCTGGGCTTTTGTTGGGGCCTCTGGGGGTTCTCTGGGGGATTGGTGGGGCCGCACGCCTGGGCTCTGTAGTATACAAAGACACCAGATAGGAAAAGAAAGGAGCCCATTTGCATGAAGGACTCAGTGGTCTGGGGGTGATCAGGCCTGGACCCCAGGGTGAGGAATTTCCCCTTTTAAAAGTGGGAGGTAGGATGACTAAGAGGTTAGAAGGATGGGATCAAAGTCAGGAGGAGATGAGATCAGCTGCATCAGGTTGTCCTGTCCCTAGAGTGGGACCATCCAGTGCAGGGGTGAGAACAGCCCAGGGGTGGCATCAGGAGTCAAGAGCCCGCTCACACTCTCCTGCAATTTGGTGAACCAGTTCATGATCTGTCGGGGCAAGGGGGAGGAGGTGTAAAGACCACTGGCAGGGAAGTCTGGAGACATGAGACCTGTGTGAACTTGGGCAAGTCCATCTCTCTGTGCCAGTGTGCTCCTCCGTGTGATGAGGATAATAATGTCTGACCTTTCAAGGTTGTTGGAAGGAATCAATGAGATCGTAGGTGTAGAGAAGTGTGGAGAGGCTTTGCATGCTGTCAAGTGTGGTGCAAAAGGTGACTGCTAGCATTGATGCAGCACTTACCAACCACCAGGCACTGAACTTAGCAGCTTTTTGTCTTTAAACCCATGTAACTCTGAGCGTAACTTAGTGATGTAGGTATTATTGTTCCCATCCCAATTTACAGATGAGAGCCAGGATTCTGGACCGAGGCAGACTGGCTCTAGTGTTTTCATGGCTAAACCAATAATCTATACTGGCCTTCCCTGTGACAGTCTTCACCCCGCCTTGCTCTGTGACCTTGGGCCAGTCTCTTTTCTTCAGTGTTCCCAACTCCATGATAGGGGGTTGGACCAGATGATCTCTTTAATCCTTCAATTACTGGCAGGCCATGGTTTAGGAAGGGAACTTCCAAGTGGGGAAGAGGGCAAGGTGGGGCCAGAGCAGAGAAAGGACAAATTTTTCCAGTGTCCCTGCCCCTCATCATTGGGTAGGCTGGCAGGCTCCCCTTTGCCCTATAAGTGGGGCCAAGGGAGCAGGTGATGCTCAGCCCCAGCCTGAAATACTCACTGGTCCCGGAGTGCCACTGAGGTCTGACTGCCAGGGCTGCCTGCCAGTAGGCAGGGCCCATCTGCCTTGGCTAACGGACCCCTGGTGGCCCAGGCAGCAAGACCACAGCACTTCCTAACCCACACTCCAGTCTCTTCCTGCCCATCCTGGGCCCGTGACCCTTCACCTAGTGTCAGTTTATCTGGGCACCAGGCCTACCTACTCTGGGGCCCAGAGGTGGGGCTATTTCTAGTTGTCCTCGCTGTGTCCTTGGCTGGGGCCTCCAGCCAGTTCAGGCCACTCACATGCACATGTGTGCACACACATACGTGCATCACATTCTCTCTCTCTCTCTCTCTCTCTCTCTCTCTCGTTGAACTTGACTGCTACTAGTTTGGCCTGGCTCCATGCTGATGACTGACAACAAACAGATGACCTAGACTCGGTCCCTGCCCCCATAGAGAGATGGAGAGGTGGATGTGTCTACAACTCTGACAGGACAGGAAGGCCACCACTATCACAGACGGCTGGACCAGAGGAGGGAGCCACTCACTGCCACTCAGGAAAGGCTTCACACAGGAGGTGTCCTTTGGGCTGGGTCTTGAAGGATAGGTACAAGGAGTTCACCAGGTGTGGGGAGAGGAATTGGGAAGGCGGAGGAGAAGGAATAGTTGAGGGAAGATGAGATTTTCCTGATGATTGCCCTAGGGTGAGGGCAGAGGATAAAAATGGCAAATGATGAGAATGGAAAATTAGTTTAGAGCCAGACACGGGAAGGCCTTGCCCATCCATCATCCGGAAGTCTGGCCTTTCTTCTGAAGGCAGTTGGGGGTCATGGAGGGTTTGGGGCAGGGGCGCTCCACGACCTGATTCCTATGATGGGATGAGTTCTCTGGCTACTGAGTGGAGGCTGGAGTGGAGATTGGTTAGGAGGCTGTGGCAGCCACCCAGGCCCAGTCTGAATGGCCCAGGAGGGCTCACCCACACCTTTGCTGCAGCCAGCAGGAAGGGGACACACTTCTATTTAAAGGCATGGCCTGGCCACTGCACACATCTATTAGTAACATCTAGCTGCAAGCAAGACTGGGAAACACAGTAATTATTCTGGGCTGCTTTTTACTCCAGAGAAGGGGGAGAATGGATATCAGGGGACTGGAGGTCTCTGAAACAGTGATTCAAAGTCTTTCTCTGGGCCGGGCGCAGTGGCTCACGCCTGTAATCCTAGCACTCTGGGAGGCTGAGGCAGGTGGATTGCTTGAGGTCAGGAATTCGAAACCAGCCTGTGCAAAAGTGAGACCCCGTCTCTACTATAAATAGAAAGAAATTAATTGGCCAACTAATATATATATATATAATACATTAATATGTATATAAAATAATATAATTAATTAAAGTATGTAGTATGATGATATTGTGTGTGTAGGTATAATTATTATAATTATATATAATATATATATATATATAATATATATGATAAATAATATAATTATATAGTGATACATAGTACAGTATAATATATATTAGCCGGACATAGTGGCCATGCGTAGTCCAAGCTACTTGGAGGCTGAGGCAAGTAAATATTGCTTGAGCCCAGGAGTTTGAGGTTGCTGTGAGCTAGGCTGACACCACGCACTCACTCTAGCCTGGCAACAAGTGAGACTCTGTCTCAAAAAAAAACAGTCTTTCTCTGAAATCAGGTTTCCTGAGTTTAAGTCCCGCCTACCATTTACCAGCTGTGCAGGCAAATTACTTACCCTCTCTGTGCCTCAGTTTCCTCATCTGAGGGTACAGTGAGTTAATACACACCAAATGCTTAGAGTAGAGCCTTGCACATAGTGAGGCCCAGAGCTGTTTTCAGTTTGTAAGAGAAAGGGGACTTGGTAGCAGGTGTTGTCCGAGTCCCCCCAGGTAGAGTTGAGGCACCCACGTGGGGGCAAGTGTCTGCCTAGGGCAGCCAAGATTACAAGCCCCTGTGGCCCCCTTGCCTGAAACCCCATGGTTTAGCTGAGGCAGAAGAGGCTGGGAGCAGGGCACAGCGGTCCTGGGAAAAGAAAGGAGGGTTGATTTTAGAAGGAATTTAAGAATGAGTAGCCCAAGAAATGATGCCCCAGGGTCCAGGAGCTTCA